ACGTTGCACTATAGCCGAGATGAGTAGCACTTTTCTTATATATAGGGTCAATGTCCTTCCTCAGTACGAGAGCTACCTATCATATAAATTTTGTGACCGTAGCATGTCTAGATCATGAGATATTAAACCGGAAATTCAGCTGCAGTACCATGAGAAGCCGCTAGGGAGCCCAAAATCTAATCATTTTCAGGTCTCATCAAGACCTACCCACCTACCAAATATCAAGTCAATCCATTGAAGCCCTCTCGAGTTATCGTGTTTACAGACACACAAACATACACACGAACACGTCTTTCCCTGGTCGATATCCTGCAAGTCTACGTTTCAACACTATGGTTAAACGATGACGGTGCACTAGCCGAGATGAGTAGCACTTTTCTTAGGGTCAATGTCCTTCTTAGCCACATCCTTTTTACGTTTTACCCGAACATTTTCACCACCACGGCGGCCGCAATGTTTTCCAGAAATACAACACCGATGTACTTTTGGCCACGTAAAAGAAATGGACGTCGGTTTTCCTGGTAGTAATAGGTCGACATCCTGGCCTGAAAGTTTCTTAACTGTACTGAGCTTCCGTACAGTTTTGGAGTAATAGGGGAACAAAATGACAAGCAATTTTACATAAGGCCACAGCAATCAATTTTATGGATAACATTTAAAAAATAAACAATAATTTTTTTGCCCTCTGACCCTGGTCAGCATGCCGAAAATGGACAAATATGTAGTAAATGCCTATTGGTTCGGAGACCATCAGGGATCCAGCAAACTTGAGGCACAATGGTTCGCGTTTGATCGCAAACGTTGACACTGACATGGTCCATCGCATCCAACCCAACCCAGTATATATAGCAGCTGCCTATGATGGCACGGCTAGCCGTTTTGCTAGAATATCTAGTTAATCGACTTGGTCTTTACATATCTACAAGGACAGGTGACACTGTTGAATACAAGAATGAAATATCTGTTTGGTTGTAATATCATGTTTTGTCATCTCAATTCTTTTTAATTCTTTCTCATGACCTCAAAATTTGAAAATGAAACGTTTTTTTTCGCCCTCTCGCATTAGATTTGCAGTCTGCGTAGCATGTCATCCACAAAATTGACTTGCTGTGGCCTAATTTAGTAAGCACGCGATAGACATGTCTCTACATCTGGTAGAGACTAACTCGTTGCCATTGCACTCCTATTCCTTCCAAATCCACTGTATACGACCAAAGTATCCATTTATAATTTTTATTAGCCCATATAAGAGCCCGAAAAAAACTGGTCTATTACATGTTCCTTCAACGAAAGCACGACTACTAACGTTCGAAAAGCGACATGTTAAGAGGAAGGGATTTTTGTAGGATTTGAAGGCTTCGTTGAAAACCCAACCAAAGATAACATACAGAGAGAAGTGCGCTAAATCCTTAGGGATTTAATTCTGGATCTCCCGTTGCTAGAGGAAATCAACGAAATAACAGACGAGACTGGCCAGAACAACTGTGGCCACAAGTTTTTAGTCTTCTTGTGTATATAAAAACCGTGTATAATGTTATGTCAATATTAGAAGAGTTCGTTTCTGCTGATTATAAAACCCTCTTGCTGGGTATCATTGTCTTCTTTTCTTCGACGAACCACGAAATCAGAAATCATACGGATTTTGTGGTGATCTCAGTGAAAGAGTTGTCCCATCCGCCTTTGTTTACCAATGTCGGACGATCAAACATGCATATGATATCTGTGTCTGTTTAAAGTTAGTGATGACATTGCTGATAACCTGTTCTCACTTCCCCTAAGGCAGGTTTGTGCTCTATTGTTCTCGGGGGATCGGAGGTACGCCTGGGAGACCTAACCACCAAAGTCTGACGTTTCAGATGAAAGCAATGTTAATCTCTTGTAATTACATCTTCTCTTATCCGGTTTGGATGTTCGACACACCTCGACCAGACTCCGAACACAACAGGAATTTCCTTCAGAATTCGGGGAATTTCTCTACGTAACCATGAAGTCGTTTTCTTCGCCGTTTCCCGACGCAACTTCCATTGCGCTTTCTGAGTTGTCAAACGTATCAAAACCTTTGTCTCCAAACGTCCTTAGTCAGAAGAAAACGCCACAGGTATTACAACACAGGAAATTTTACGTCAGAAGACCGTCATTTTTATAGCTATAAATAAGGGCCGAGATGTCCAGTGATTACATAAACTCCACTTCGACTGGAAAGAGGACAACACTCAACCACCAGAGACCTGACGAGTCGAGAGGACAACATGAAGAGTTTCTACGTGTTCTGTCTCGCCGCGTGTCTGTACGGGACGCTGCTCGTGCCTTCCTCGGCGCACCCCTCACCCTTACACCGAGGACATGGACGCCACCACCACCCCCACCACGACCAGGACGACCTTCCACCAGATGCCGAGCTGATCGACTTCGACGAGTTTTTCGGGGTGCCAGTGGACCCATTAAGGTAAGGCATTCATTCCTTTGAACCTTTTTTAAAACCTATTCAATCACTTTTTACCAAAAACGCTCAAGGCCTGTATACGTTTCGGCACATCTTATTTGTCATTTCGAAGGGATTGACAACTTTTTCCAACGTATCACTGCGCTGTACAAAATCCTATATTTAAGTATTATATGCCCTAAATCATACATAAAAGTACACAGAACCTTTACCCATGTTTTGTGCAGAGTATCTTTAGTGGATGCTGTTAATGTTGCGCTTGCCAGGCCGTTCAGTGATAAGAAGTGACGCACTTTTTTCATAGGGTGTGTTTTTGTGTAAAATCATGAAGTAAAGTCATAAATTCAAGTTGAAGGTTTATTGTTAAGATCAGAAAGGACCCGAGTAGCCCGAATTACGTCCTCTTTACAAGAAATGCAACATTTAGATATACTTCAGTAAAAGTTTAAAAACTACTTTCACACTATTGACCACTTCCTCCCTTGGGTTCGGAAGAACCCCCCTCCCCCCCACAAGGCTCAAAGGTCCACTTTTTATGTAAAGGTCCAATATTTTTCTTGAAAAGATGGACTGGAATCGTAGAAAAACTGCTCCCTTTGTCATTGAATAAAAATTCATCTCTAATTTTTTCTTGGAAATTCGCTCAAAATGCACGAAATGCCATTTTAGAAGGTTCATTTTTCAAACGTTTCCGGGGGAGCATACCCGCGGACCCCCCTAGGACTACGGCGCTCGAGGTCCCCTCAAGCAGTGGGAAGAACCCCCCCCCCCTTCAAAATCCTGGCTACGGGCATGTCTAGTTGGCCTAACCGTAAAGCTTTTGCCGCCAGACGTCTGCTTGGAAATTAGCTCTGGGCCCCTAGTTATCAGCCTAAACGAACATCAACAGTCGACTAACAGAAGAAACACCTGATGTGTAATCACCACATGCTTCTGTAATACGCGGTTTCCTGTCTGAAATGTCATCAAGACAAAGAAACAAAAGCCTCATCTTTATGTCCATCGTAATGTTATATTTAATGTCAAGTAAATTACATGTTTCAAAAGGAAGTGGTGAAGATTTCCGAAGTCGTTGCCCTTCGACGAGACAGTGATTTGGATAATTAAATTATATGTTGATTTGATTATATGGATGACATCCTATGGGAACCCAAAGTCTGCGTGGTCATGAAGGTTGAACGAATGACTAAATACACAGAGTATCGTATGGCGAATGATAGACTCTTCATTTTAATTCCTTCACATTTTCTTCTTTTCCTTTGGAATTGATTCTGGCATTCTTCCGCATTAGTATCATTTTCCAACTTTTCCATTGATATACAGTAATATACCAAGCTATAATATCACACCTTTTTTCACAATTTACAGTGAAGAGATTGAAGGTATGGAAGACGACGGAGAGAAACTAGAGACCCTATCACAACAGCCAAAACAATTCAACACGAATGACGGAAGGGTGAGCCAAATGCTAGCACAATTGTTTGGACATACAAGTAACGTGTTATCTTTAATCTGCCTACGTAACTGGTCAGATTTTTGTTTGTTTTGGATTTCCGCTTGTGCGCCTTCAATTCAAAACACACACCAACGCAATGGCCACTGGCCGATGACACACTGTACACGGGCTGTACACGATCTCATTAGCTGCTTTTTCTGTCCGAAAACACAAACTCAGCATGTAATGGTAGCACGTTAAACATTGAACGGAAACTAGTGCGAGATGTAAATTTGAACTGAAAACCAAAGTTTAACGTTAACTTTTACTCTCAGTTACTGAAACGAATGTTTTGAGCTTTTTCTGTTCATAGGGGTAATAATAATGATAGAAATACAAGCACTGATTTCAGAAAAATAAACTTTATTTTCTAGCTCTACCTGCAACAGTTCGGGTATTATAACATGTCGAAGGACCCCACAGGCATGCTGGGAAGTCTGGACACCATCAGTCCCATGATGCGTCGCGCGGTCATCAACTTCCAGCAATTCGCAAACATCCCGACAACAGGTATTTGATAAATGGCGTAAATTTATTTATTTTTTATTTTTATTTTAGGCCATTTAAAGGCATCCAACCAGTGCAATTTCAGGGCAACAAAACAGTATTTTCTAAGTCAAATTTCTGGTCACTCAGTAAGTTTAATCAATCCTATCCCATAGCATACTTATATATGTGAGGGAAAAATGCGATGTCACTGACGAAATAAAAAAAAACGGTTGCTTGTTTTGTATTCACGGTATTGTATGGTTCAAGCTCTTGATGATAAAAAAACACAAAGACTACTTACGTAGCTAGCTTGTCTTGGGGCTTAGTATGAGAGGATGACGAAAATGTTCTAAGGAATGGCAGTTGACTCAATATCAGACAAGATTTCCTTATCTATAATATTTTTGTTTTACCGCCTTACAATAACATTGAATTCCTTTAGAAGTGACGTATTGGGCACGAGTGTTAATTTAGTGGTATCGCCTTACTCTCCAAGTAGAGGTTTGGGTTATTTTTGGCGTGTTTTTAGACTTTTTTTCGGGGTTTCTTTTTTGCACTGAAAATTCCAGTGAAAAAAGAAAACCCCGATAAAAAGGCTAAAAACACGCCAAAAATAACCCAAACCTCTACTTGGGGAGTAGTATCGCCTAGCTTTTGCCCTAACCATAGCGTTCCGAAATGGCAACAAATAGCATACACCCACCAACTTGACTAAAGTGACCGTAACTCCGGGAAATTCGATCTTTTCGGAGCTGAGTCGGCTGGTTTTGAGCGCGCTATCTGACGTAATGTCAGCCCACACAACTTTAGCACCTTGTTGTATTTTTTGGCGAGCGGCGGACGTACACCCGTGTTTTGTTTGTTTAGTCACCACTCGCTCAGTGCCATGTTTGGGCCATTGTTGTTCTCCCGTGTGCTTCCCGTATCGGGTGTCTGGCGAACAAAAAGCAGAATCGTTGGTGAGAACCACAACAAAAACACACTACACAGAAGTGCACTTAGCACTGCGACCTGCCCTCCCACAGGTCAGAGACCTCAACAGGATTCCGAAGGAAATTAACTATTAGTCATCAGACCTCTGGCTATTTGAACACTAAGACAGGCAGGGCATTGACCTTAAGTATTAGTCTAGTGACTCTTGGTTTGGCGCTCTTTGTTTAGGTCTTGTTCCAATGTTTTCGTAGAGTTTGTTGATCTTGTGTGTTACCATTTTTGTCGAAATTTTTTATGTTAATTGTTCAGCTGTATCAACTGCAAATACGTTGCTTTGAATTTCAGGTGTCATTGATGACAAGACGGCAGAGATGATGAAGATGCCACGGTGCGGATGCCCTGATGTTGTGGCGCCGCCTAGCGGTCCTGTGGCGCGCTACACCCGACTGGGCAGCAGATGGCAGAAGAACGACCTGACCTACCGCATCAACAACTTCACTCCTGACCTCCCCCGCGATGAAGTGGTAGATGCCATTGCCCGTGCATTTGACGTAAGTTTTTTTCTTGGTTTCCTTGTTAGTTTCTTTGTTTGTTTGTTTGTTTGTTTGTTTGGATTCAAATTAAGATTTTCTTCCCTATTTCCTATATCAGTTGATATCTGTATTTGTGTTAGCAACAGAGTTGTTACGTATACACTAAAATACTAGTATTCTCAAGCAAGAAAGTCAGTATTCGGTAGATATCTTCAATACCCAAAGCTATAAGGTCGCATAGTATTTATTCGGGAACAAAGTAGTGCGGCACAATAGTTGAGAAAGCTGCAGCGATTCTTCTGTGCCTGGCTGTGAGGTGAAACTGTGCTGATATGGCCCGTGGTAGAAGATATTGTCAAAGTTGAATTTGTTGCAGTTCATAAGTTTTCCGCATAGCGTATGTAAAAGTTTGCATCAGAAGAGATTTTTCACATATTTTGTAAATTATACCCTGAAATTAAACACATACAATTTCTGTACCTTGATTGTGGAACCCTATCCTATATTTTTTTACCGCGTCGAAGTGAGTCACCTTTGGGTCCTTAATCTTCATAGGGCGAAAACGGTGTTCTGCTACCATAACACAAAATTTCTCCACCAACAGGTATGGTCCGAGGTGACGCCCTTGACCTTCAGACGTGTTTCCGGTCCAGCTGACATCGAGATCCGGTTCGCCGCCGGTAGTCATGGAGACGGCAACGCCTTCGACTCCAGGGGAGGCGTCCTGGCGCATGCGTACCCACCCGGAGGGGGCATCGGCGGTGACGCCCATTTTGACGAGTCGGAAGTCTGGCAAATCGGAGGACCAAGTATCGGTGAGGATCTTATCATGTTTACCGAAGGAAAACATATTGTTTTTGCTCCGTTTCTTCTTCTTCTTCTTCTTTTCCAAACAGTGACCTCTGACCTGACCAATGACATGATTTGTTGACGTCTGTCACCTTGGGGACTGGTGTTGGGTTACATAATGTTGCAGTTTCATGGTCTGCTCTGTCACCATATATTAGTAGTGCAATGTATTTGAATGTGTTTGAGTAAGAATTAACAGAGCAGACCATGTCCGAAGGTAAACATTATGCATTTGCTTTCCATATGTTACTTCTCTAGTTTTTGTTTCAGTTAACTGAAGCAAAGGCTAGTTGGACCACTTAATTTTATACATATATGTGCTGATTATCATGGAATACCTGACGCTCAGGCATATGCCTCATTGTTACTTCACCTTCAAGTTTCCATAAATTCTAGATGTCTAAAGCAAAAAGGTTATGCCTATAACCTGTTTGCAAATTTGGTTTAAGTAAATGTGTTTATCATTGGTTACATATGCTTATATGCATCCATTCGTTTAGTCGGTGAAAATGACAAACAGTAATAAGACGCAAGTTTCAATGAAAATGCGTGAAGAGCGGAGAATTCTACAATTTCCGTACATATTAGTACTTGGACGGCTTTTAGAAATTTGTACTTCAGTACGTACTTAAATATGTTGAATTATTTTGTACAATCCTGCATTCTGGACAAACACGAGCTCATCGGTGTCTCATGCCTGCCCCCTAGCGTCCCTGAGAGGAACTGATCTGTTCTCGGTGGCGGCTCACGAGTTCGGCCACTCCCTGGGGCTGGGACACTCCCAGGTGAACTCCGCCCTGATGGCGCCGTTCTACCGGTACCAGTCGCGTCTGCGTCTGGACAGAGACGATATCAACGGGATTCAGAGTCTGTACGGTAAGGAACGGACTTTTCCTAGCCTCCTTCGCAGACCCGTGCGGCGGCTTCCCGAAAAAAAAAAATTAACGCTGCCGCCGCACAAGTCTGCGAAGGAGGATAACGTTAACCTCCTACATACGACTGTTCAGCCATATAGCTGAAGCTGTAGGGCTGATATCGAGTAGGATTTTACCATGATCAATATTGAAGATGGCCATAAAGGCGTGTGTCACACTATTTTATATATGGTTACCTATGGGATCTTTATTCATCATGAATTAAAAAAATTAATTGAAAATATTGAGGATATTTGACATAGTTAACATCATTTGCATGAGCTCTTTGCCTCTTTGATAATTGCAGATTTGATTTTATCAAGGTAGACACTCATGTTATATCAGTTTACCGTAAATTTGGAAGCACCAGGAATAATAAGCTAGAACGAAAAGTATACAGTGATAACCCAAAGCTGTTTTGACCACGGTCTATACAAATAATGAACGGCTAAAACCTTAATTGTAACGAACAGGTGGACCGCAACCTCGTCCTCGTCCCCAGCCCACGCCAGCACCTCGTCCCCAGCCCACCAAGCCTCCCGTGAACCCACCGCCCCCTGGCGGAGAGGGGGATGCCGACACCTGCAGCGGCAAAAGTTTCGACGCCTTCACCCGCTTGGCCAACGGCACCATGTACGCCTTCAGAGGTTAGTTAACGATTAATCATTAACCAGTTTTAGTTAAGTACTAAACCAATGAGCAGAAATGTGTAGTAAATGTGAGTTACATGACACGTGACAAATACTGCAGCAATGCTATAAACAGATCGAGACGGTGGACGATATAAACTATCTGGCACGTTTGACCAATTGCCGACGTCACGAATTCGTAAAGTCTCGTGTGAATTGGTCTCGTGTGCGCAACTCTCGCGAGATCACGTTTGTAAGTGATTGGTCAGTATTTATCCTGATGAAGGCCACAGTGGTCGTTGAAAATTTGATTCTTGTTTGCTCTTGTGTTGGAAGAAAGTTTAGCATCGCACTACAATAGAAATGCCTTTAGATTTAATTTTAATATATGTCTTTTACATAAATTTTAGGGAAGTACTTCTGGCAGCTGACTGAGCGTGGGGTGTCGCCTGGATACCCACAGCTGATCAAGGACGTCTGGCAGGGATTGCCGGGAAATCTGGACGCCGCCATGTTCTATGAGATCAACGGAAAGACATACTTCTTCAAGGTCAGTGTTAGAGGGCAAATTTGTACTCTTATTATACTGATGATTCCACACAACGTTGTGATGTGTTTTAAAGGGGAAACCTCCACGTATCAATGGTGTATACTGCTTGAAATCTTCATTGCTTAAAGCTGCATTTTTTAAGCGTTAGGACGATACGAATAGTAAATTTTCCTCTTCATTTCTTTACAAAGTAAGTTGGACCAACCCTACACCATTGCAAATAATTAAAAATCAGAAAGTGAATGTGACAAAATATGACATCTTAGTGTGTTTTAAACCATGTCATTCATGTTTGTTTATATTCTGGTAGTTTGTGGTGGCACCACAAATCGCCACCCATGAATAATAATGTCAACAATCACACGAATATTTTTAAAACAAATTTAGAATAACATGGGGTATTTCAATTTTTGGTAAAAAATATTACTTTTTGCCCCTTTAATCAATTTTGTATGTTTTTCTGACCTTGCTGTTCCTGCTGTTCCAGGGAGGACAGTTCTGGCGGTTTACCGGTGACAGCATGGACAGCGGATACCCCCGCTCCATCAGTGTCTGGCGCACTGTGAGTGACATCGACGCTGCTCTGTACTACGGAGAGTGGGACGGCAAAACCAGAACCTACTTCTTCAAAGGTAAGGACACGGTTTCTTTTACATCAATCACCGTTGTGTACGTACGGAAGCAAGTAAGTGTATAAGACAGCAATAGACTGACCACGAAGCCCTGTACACCTCTGTCAAAAACATAGAAATGAAAATATTTGACGAATCGGACATGCAACCACTCTCTCATTGGTCAAACCGCTAATTGCCCTTCTCTCATTGGATAAACGTCTAATTGGGATATATATGCAGATAATTATAGCTTTTGTTCATTTTCAAGAGTTTGTCTTATTTTCCACACGTTCATGTTTCTTCCATTACTCCTTGTGTATATTTGTATTTGTGATATGTTTATGTATTTGGATATGAATTAAAACCGTTTGCAGCAAGAGACATTGTAGTTGACTAATTCCACCGTCTCTCCGTACAGACGGGCAGTACTGGCGGTACACCGGCGGGGCCCGGGCGGGTGCCGACTCCGGCTACCCCCGCTCCCTCAGCCTGTGGCGCGGCTTCCCCACACGGATCGATGCCGCCTTCACCAGCGCGGACGGCTCCAGGTACATCTTCCGTGAGGACCGCTACTGGAAACTGGCAGCTAACCGCGCTGCTGTGGACACCAACGGGGGGTACCCGCGTAGCGTGGCCACGGACTTTCTGGGTTGCGCTAAAACTCTTCAAGATCTAGAGATAGAGCCTTGATAGAACACTAAAATATCGGTACTTAGTGGTGACTTGGATATCAACATCACATTTATGACACGTTTAAAATGTCAGTTAATATCAATTTAAAGAATGATTCACAAATTTGATGGTCACGATTAAGAGATCAACGTAGAGTTGCTGTTTTAGTCAGAAAAATTTCAATCAACAAAATCATGCCATGGGGAACTTCCATAGGGAATTTGTATCTGTATCTGTATAGCCGGTATATATGTATAACCACCCTTCGGCGTAACACACCAGCTTTAGAGAGATAACATGACGAATTATATATCTAGTATTTGCTTTTACCTATACCACTACTTGCAAATTATTTATATAAATGAAGCTTCCGATCATGTGTGAAAATAGGAAATATTATTCTTAAAACTTTATTGTATCTATCGACAGAGCTTGGTAACTTTTAATTAATGTTTTTGAAGTTTTCTAACGTATGTTAGATGCAACAATAATAATAATGATTCTAGAGGGCCGGAAATATGCAAAATGATTTTAGATTTGGTGATTTTTTTTAACCTCGAGCTGATTTTTTATAATATTTGTACGTCATGTTTCTGCGCTAAGATATGCAATAAATATTTGCTTTACGATGACGCAAATTATATCATGTTGTTTTTCATAGTTTGATCGGGACGCATGCAACAATGATTGGAAGGCATGATTAATATGTAGTATAAGTACATGAATGAGTGAATGAATGAATGAATGAATGAATGAGCGAAATATCAAACAAACGAAGGGACAGGCGAACAAATAGCAAAACATTTTTCTATACAAAGAATATTTGGCCAAAAAGTTGCTTTCACTATGAAATCTACGTGGTTTTGAAGGTTGAACAAATGGCACAGAGTATGGTTTGGCGAATAATCTATTCTTCAAATTTATTTCTTTACATTTTCGTCTTTTTTAATTTCGTTTGATTCTGGCATTATACGACATTGGTATCGTTTTCGAATTCCAATGTTTTTTTAACGTACGGTGTATATGTGCTCCTTTTGGAACTGTTTTGTACGATTTACTAGTGTGATTGAAAACATTCTTTTTTGGAAACGACCGAAAATTCGTACGCGGATGTTATACATATAATCAAATCAACATGGCCTTATGCCAAACAAAGTGTATAGACTACGGAAAAATATCAGGCTGGCTAGATCACTGTAACCATTCACTGTACTGTCTCTTCTGACTTTCCTTCTTTCTTAGAGACGTTAAGGTTGCTTTCCTGACGGTCAAAAAGGTCAAGATCTCTGCAAAACCACCCAAACGACAGTTTGTCCACTGTTACGGTGACGGGGTTCCACGCAGAATATGGCAGGTACGTCACAGACTCTTGGAAAAGTCCTCCGCCCGCCGGTGTCCTGGGACTTCT